TATACACGCACACACACATTTATACATATACATATGCAAAAATGTATATAGAACACATACAATATATAATATATAATACATATATATTATATTATATATATATATATATATATATATATATATATATATATATATATATATATATATATTATATATATATATACATATATATATATATATATATATATAATATATATATATATATATATATATATTATATATATATATATATTATGTATGTATATGTATATACATATATGCAGACACATATTTGTGTTGATATATATGTATATACATATATACACCAGTCTTTTGTCCATCGTCTTCCCAAAGCCTTTTTTATGCCGTCCAGTAGTCTATGACAAGATAATAATGATCGACCTCGTCCTCAATGCAGACAGACGCTCATGTCAGACCGAACTGGATCATTCAGCTCGGTGTTCGGGTCACAATCGCTCTCTTTGCATGTCGATCAACAATCTTGGTCGATTCGCGCAGCATTGGCATCACGAGCGTTTGGTAATGAGGGGAGTTTCGCCTTGATGGAAAATACTTAAGAAAACAGTGTGGTGTATATGCTGTATGATTATCAACGTGCGACCAAGACCTTGGATGGGACATGAAAGGGATGGTTTTATATATGTTTTTCCTATGGAGTGATGAGTATTGTGGAGGAACTTCACTTTAAGATCACTCTAATATATCGATCTCTCCTCTTAGCATTCAGCATATATCACAAAATCTTCGTCTCTGCTCCCCATCAAAACTCGACCGACGTCCCCACCTTAAACAACCCAATCACCCAGTTTTAAAGAGCCCCCCGTTAAACAGCTGTTGCCCCTCTCTGTAACGACGATGATAAAGGGCTGGCGACGCGCCGATCTTGTTCCGAAGAAAGGTTCCGCTGCCGCTGCCCATCACCATCGTTAAGCCCCCGATGCCTGTCAGGCCACAAGCTAGTTATGGTAAGCAGTGCGCCGCGCTCTCCGTTCCCGCAAGGTCTTCCATCACCTGTGCTTTCACTCCCTCCCGCACCAATCACCGGGAAATCAATCTTCAGGCCTCCGTCTCCTGCGCGAATCAGAATAAACCAGATATCTCATGTGTTTATTTAAATGGCGACAAATAAAACATATTGACTCGGCGTGTCCACAAGAAAGGGAAAGACCGTTGCAGCTGCTTATTGTCTGCTTGCCTGATGTGGGTCGCGGATTCGTTCTTTCGTGTTTATAAGTAATGGGAATCGCTTATCCAAACAGCCTAATGCCTCGCGAAGTATAGAGCCAGACACTTTGCGATCTGCGCTGACCCAGAAACAGGAATGTAAATGGTGTTTTATTATGCATGATGTGTAAAAAGACAAAATAGTGATATAAACAAAGAGAAAGGACACGGCATATCTCATCTGTACCCAAAGCAGTGTTTTATCATTAAATATACTGGAGACATGCGTACGAGATACATAATTTTCTGCATGTTGGAAACGTTACTTTTTTGTCTCCCTCTCTTACACAAACCAACGTAAACAGATATCTGTGCATCATTAAGGGATGTGTATATTATATATATTTTCCAGTTTTCAAAATATATTTAGAACGAAATAAGACAAATGGATTTTTTTTTTACAAGAAAATATATTGTTTGGTGTTTTTATGTACACTTTCTTTGCATTCAGCTACCTCCTCATCTATCATCGGTTGCTGAGTTAATCTTAGTAAGCATATGAATCTTCATAAAAACAACACATGTCAAAAATACGCATTAGAATTTCAGAAGATTATTTGTGAGAGGATATATACAGAGCTGTTCATTCATACATATATATATATATATATATATATATATATATATATATATATATATATATATATATAACACACACACACACGCACGCACGCACGGACACACACACACACACACACACAACACACAACACACACACACACACACACACACACCACACACACACACACACACACACACACACACACACACACACACACACACCACACACACAGGGACAAGGAGGAGGGAGAGGGCAAGGACGGAAGGAAGGGAAAGGGAGAGGGGCAAAGAAGGGAGCGTAGGAAGGAGAGAAGGAGGAGAAGGAAGAGGAAGATAAGAAGGAGAGAGAAATGAAGATAAGGAAGTAGAAGGAGGGGGAGAGGAAGAGAAGGAGAGAGAGAGAGAGAGAGAGAGAGAGAGAGAGAGAGAGAGAGAGAGAGAGAGAGAGAGAGAGAGAGAGAGAGAGAGAGAGAAGAGACTGTTCTCCACGATGTTGAAATCAGTGAAATCAGTGAGGTCAAGTGAGTTATTCCATAAACAAAACTGGAATTTCTAGACGATCTGGGAGTACTTACGTATCGGGTGATCGGCAGGCAAATATTTATCGTTCCTTCTCACTCTCTTATTTTCTATATTTTTTCAGGGTATTTGCAACACCAAATCCTCGTCACAAGCCTTTATTTTGCATACACTCTCATTCACTTGTCAGTATCCATTACCCAGAATGACTATAAACACATTGAACGTCAAAGGGAACGATACTCTGTTGATACAAATAGCAGAAAAAAAAACATTACAGACAAATCATGTTACTTTTTTGTGTTGTGTTTTCTTCATTCCCATATCACTTGTAATTATTGTAACCCTTTAATGTCAAGGAAAACCCCATTGTTGCGTCACAAATAACAGAAAGAGATACTTCTGATAGATCTGGTTTACTTACGTGTACTGTCTCTCTTTCACTGCCGTATCACTCGTACAGATTGCGGTCCGTTAACGCGTCTCGCCCGGGGGAACTTCTCCGCGCTCGCATAGCAGGACGTCCGAGCTTTTGTGTTGCCGGTGACTGCTGCCCCCCCCCCCCCCTCTGCCCTCTCTCTCTTCTCTATTCCTGTCTGTTTTTGTTGGTCTCTTTCTATTTGTTGGTCTCGGTCTGTATGGCTCTCTCTCTCTCTCTCTCTCTCTCTCTCTCTCTCTCTCTCTCTCTCTCTCTCTCTCTCTCTCTCTCTCTCTCTCTCCTCTCTCTCTCTCTCTCTCAGTTAAAACAGTGAAGAGAATATATTCAGTTGAGAGAGAGAGAGAGAGAGAGAGAGAGAGAGAGAGAGAGAGAGAGAGAGAGAGAGAGAGAGAGAGAGAGAGAGAGAGAGAGAGAGAGAGAGAGACTGAAGAGAGAATAGGGAGAGAAAGAGAAGAAAAGAAGAGAGAGGCTTAAGGTGAGATCGGAAGGGAAAGATGAAAGAGGGCAATGTAGAGATACCCAGATATTTAGAAAAACTGCTAAGCATCAGAGAACAAAGAGAAACACACACACACACCCACACACACACACACACACGCACCAAAGAGAGAGAGAGAAGAGGAGAGAGAGAGAGAGAGAGAGAGAGAGAGAGAGAGAAGAGAGAGAGGAGAGAGAGAATTTATATGGTCCTGGATAAACTCCCCAAGATATCTCGGGGAATATCAAAGCAGGTGAAGGTAATTTACGTACACGGAGGGCGAAGCAAAAGGGAAGGCAGGTAGTAGGGAAGGTAGAGGGGAGAAGTGAGGGGGAGAGCCAGGGGAAAGGGAGGTAGGGAGGCCAAGGTGTGGAGGCAGGGGCATGACAGGGGCAGGGATTAGGGGGCCATTGGAAGAAAGGGGTAGAGGGAGGGCAGGAGGGGGAGAGGGCAGAGTCAGTGGGGTAGGGGGTCGATCTAGGGGGGAAGGAAAGGGGTCAGAGGAATGCAGTTCCGGGAATGAGAGATAGTAAACTCGGCCGAAGAATGGTACATCAAACAATCTTTGTCGTTTGTGAGGGATGCCTGCTACGGGACGAGAATTTAATGCGGCCTCTGGAGCTCTCGAGCCAGACGAGGGAAACACCGGGGAGGGTTTCTGCTTCTCTGAGCTGAGTGGATGGAAAGAGTTTGCTTTTGTGTTATAAGATGTTTAAAGAGAAACTTTTCAAAGGGAGAGTATTGAAATAATCCGAAAGAAAGAAAGAAAGAAAACGCGCGATTCTTATTTGCGTAAAAATAGACATTTGCGAATTCCGTGACCTGAATTTGAATATAATTAATTTCCCTTGAAGTCCTTTTTAAAAGCTGCGCTAAAACTGACCAAATTATTTCATATGAAGAAGATAAACGTTATGTGTGAGTATATGAATGTTTTACTGCATTTTAATTAACTAATGATGAGGATGACTGGAAAATAATACACTTCATGGGCACGTCTTAATTTGATGAAATGACAGCTTCGGAATTATTTTTATACATTATAGTTCGAGTAGATATATGGAGGCTGAGGATATTTCCCACTGAATCAAAATGGACCAGAAAGAGGAAATTAGTTCATGCTCTTTATACACGCATTTATATTTATTCACTTGTATATGCAGTGTCACATTTCATACACGGTTCATAATCCTTTTCATGACGAAACAAATTATCACTTCTACATCGCAAATGTTCAGGATCCCATGAAGTTGCGTAATAGCTAATACAGACCGCGGTGCTTCCTGTCTTCATATCACCTTCATTGGTTCAGTCTTATCATAGGCCTCCCAGAGATACGATTATCATTGTGTTGCTAATGTTATTTTTATTTGATTTAAAAGATGGTGTTCTATGTTGTGTGATAGCTTGTTTTTTGGTCCATCTGACTGCATATCTAGTCATGTTTTCGTTACTCTTAACTGAATATATTCGATTATTTACTTCATAGAAATGTAATGAATACAATATGTTACATAAATCCCACGGACTTCGAATGATCACAGATTGGTGAGTATGATAGTTTCAATATTTCAATTAATAAAGTCCATATCTGTTCCTGCATAAATTTTTTGACATGGTTATAAGTTCATTGGTGAAAAATCTAATCGATAAGAAAGACAAGTTTTCAGTGATGCTATGAGGCGACTGTCGGAATTTTCCCACATGATGTCGTTATCATTTCAGTGTCTGGCTATCAGTTTATGGAAAGAAAGGGGAATCAGATATTGATATAAAGGGATGATTGAATGCCACTCACCTTCAGTAACTGTCAATCTTGGCCACAGAACGAAGATGTATTTCATTACATCGAAGCCTTTTTGGGTTGTTTTAGTGGCCTGCCTTCCATGCCTCCGTTGTGCACACGTTATGAAGTCTGTGTCGGGCGCAGACTCCATGGACACTTACAGGAGCGTGGTTTCTGAAGGACTGTTTTCTTCTGCGTCGATGAGAGAGGAGCGTGCCCTTCCTTGTCCTTCCGACGTCGACGTGGCGCCCTGCGTGTGTTCCTTCGACGGCGCTTCCCTCGACCTCGACTGCAGTTCGGTGAAGGACCTTGACGACCTGGCGAGGGTGTTCCAGGCGGACTTCCCCTTCTCGTCGTTCACGTCCCTCGCCATCGCCGACAACCCGCACCTCGTGGGAGAGCTTCCGGGAGGGATCTTCGGCCCGGTCACGTTCCAGAACATCACCCTCGTGCGCACGAACCTCAGCGCCGTCTCGGACAAAGCCTTCGCGAGCTCGGCCTCCAGGCTGCAGCTCCTCGACCTCGGATCCAACGCCCTCACGAGCTTTCCCTTCGAGACGCTGGGAGACTACTTCCTCCTTCAGCACCTCGACCTCAAGAGAAATCGGCTTGGCAGAATTTTGGACTTAGAAAGCTCAAGCTTGGAATACTTAAAACTTGACAGCAATCCTCTGCTTGAATTGACCGCAACGACTTTTGCAAACGCGCGATATCTCAGAGCGCTCTATCTGAACGACGTCAGCCTTAAGGGAGTCCCCGTCGGACTGTTCGACAGCCTGAACCACCTGCAGGAGCTATACCTGATGGGCAATCAGATCCAGACCCTAAGCAGCGGTACATTCAACCTTAACAGCAAGAGTCTGATCATCGTGGCCCTCGCTGGAAATGCCATCAGTCAGGTGGAACCAAATGCTTTCGGTAAGATGATTATCTTTAGCACTATCGTCGCAACTATAATCCCTCTTTGTATCGTCGTATTGTCGCCGTCATTAGCATTGATCAGAGCGGACTAATTTAATATGGCAAGGGCCACACATTGAGAATGTATATCTATTTATCTATCTACCTTCACACACACACACACATACTGTATACATTTATTTGTATATATGTGTGTTAGAAAACCCTTGTATATATCACATTCATCGTTATTCAATGTATATACACATCCTTAATCCAATACTCACTATCGTCCGCATCATAACACAACGAATACTAACACCAACAAACAAAGACAATGGTTACAACCTCAATAAGGAAACACATAATAAATAACATTTCATAATACCTCTTTCAGGAACAAGCCTTTCGCACACCGTTACCTTGGACTTCCGTGCTAACTCTTTGGCTGATCTCCCCGAGTCCACATGGCGCCCCATGATCGCTATTTTAGGCTCCGGTTCCCTTCTCATCGATGGTAAGTTATAAATGGTATGATAGACTACGAACGTGTCGAGAAAATGGCAAAAAAAGGTTGACTTAAAGGTGATGTAACCGTTTCGAAATCTTATTGGATTCCCTTTACGGGTTAGGCGTCTCGTATTTCAATAAGATCTGAAGTGTATAGTTTTTGTTCTGGTAAGGTGCATGATACTTGTATTTGTTGGTTTTGTGCTGCAGATGTTATCTTGGGACATGAACGATTTCGAAAAGTTGACAATCATCATTGTTTCTCCTTTTTTATCATTCAGATATACTGAACATCCAAATGTACTGGATATATGCATATATATGCATATATATATATTATATATATATATATATATATATATATATATATATATATATATATTATATATGTATATGTATATTATACACATACATACATATATATATATATACATACATTACACTACATACATACATACACAGCACACACACAACACAAACACACACACACATACACCACACACATCACACACACCACTACACACACACACACCCCCTGACCCACCACACAAACAACACACATCACATACCCACACTTTCGCCACACACACGCACAGCACACACCCCAACACAAATATTACCCCAAAATGGTATGTATTGTATACACAGTTAGTGCGCTATACTATCTTGTGTACTTTTTATGTTGTAATGCAGATCTTGCTATGAATCCTAACTCGGCTTGCCAAGGCTCTTAAACGACAAAAGACATAAATAGGTAATTAAGAGATAAACGAGCATAAGACATCTCCTTCTCGCGTTTTCGAGTGTGAAAGAGAGTATGGGACTTTATTTTCTTATTAATCACCCACTGATAAACGAAGCCGAGTTCGCCGTGCTCATATATAAGACTTTTAGTATTCATGTATACAACCATAGTCTGAATAAGTAGAATATATATACTTCACACACCGTACATAAGCGTTCTTAATGAGTATGGGTGTATAGTGGTGCTTGTTTGTGCCCGTGATGGCGCTCTACTGTTTGTGTATTTTGTATTTTATTGGGGCCCCCTACATAACGTATATATATACCTCTCTCAGCTAT